AGAGAAAGAGAGAGAGAACATTGATATGTTCCACTTATTTATGCATTTATTGGTTGATTTTTTTTAAGTATAAACAAGCACATTGAAAACTTGCCTTTATTAAAAATTATTGATTTTAGAAAGATGAGAGAGAGAGAGAGAGAGAGAGAGAGAGAGAGGATAGAGAGAGAGAAGAAAGAGAGAAACCAATGTGAGAAAGAAACATCGATCTGTTGCACCCCCACATTCATGCACCCTGACCAGGGATCGAACCTGCAGCCTGGGCATGTACCCACCCAACCAGAAATCAAACCTGCCACCTTTTGATGTACAGATGACACTCTAACCAATTGAGTGAGATGACACTCTAACCGGCCAGGGCCATTTTTTGATTCTTGTATGTATGTGCCCTGACTGGAGATGGAACCCACAACCTTGACATATTGGGAGAATGCTACAACTAACTGAGCTACCTAGCCAGGGCCTGTTTGGAAATTCTTGATTCAATAAAATACAGTTCAACAGGCAAATAATTACTAATTGTTGAGTAGTTATTACATACCAGATATATTGCTTAATGCTTGACATGTTTTATTTCATTGACCCTTAATAGGTAGCTATTATTAATCTTATTTTACAGACCATAAAACTAATACCCAATTAGATATGTAATATAATTTCTTATCTTCTATTATTTCTTTCAAAAAAAGCTATCAGTCATTTTTATTACTAAGTACTTATTAGATGTTATTATTATTACCATGATATAGCAATAAACACAATGAATTCATTTTTGTTTTCATACTTCAAGTGTCTATTCATCATTTATTTATTCTGCATTTATTGACCATTTACTCTGTATTGGGTCCTGGAGTATCCTCTATAATAAAAGGGTAATATGCTAATTGACTGCCCAACCTTCAAAGATGGCGGCACCCACAACCACAAGATGGTAGTGCCCAGTCCCCTCAGCCCCACCAGGGTGGCAGGCGCATGGCAAGGCTGGGCCCGCCATTGATGGCCACGCCCTCAAAGATGGTGGTGCCCACAACCACAAACTGGAGTCCCCCAGTCCCCTCAGCCCCGCAGCTGCCCCCGGCGCGGGCGGGGGGAGGCCAAGCCTCAGATGGCCAGTCACTATGAGGCGCACTGACCACCTCTTGGTCCCTCTCCCCAGCCGGCAGGCTCCGATTGCCTAATGGTGAACAGGGAAGGTGGTGGCAGGGGGTGGGGCTGGCTGCAGGCAACTGGGGAAGATGGCCCTGATCACAGTGAAGCACCCCAACTTCTCTTTCAGGTAATTGTCAGCAGCACAGCAGTAAATATCAATATGAAGCAGATTATTATTGTAGATCACACAGGGGAAAAAAGGGTAAAATATTTACCTGTAGCAGTGTTTGACTATATTCTGCACAGTGAGAAAACCTGAAGCCATTTTCAAGGTCCAGCATTACTTCTTTTCTGTTGGGTCAAGTTTCTAAACTTTCTAAATCTCCATTGTCTTGCTAATGAAAAGAAAATAGGATTCTACCGATTCTCCTATCTACCTACTGCAGGACTTCTGTGAGGATCAAATGAAATGAAGCCATTGGGAAAAGGCTTCACAAACATTTGGTTGAACTGTAAAATGTTTTGATGGAGTGTCACTCTGGGGTGGTGGCGGGGCCTGTGTTCCACTTGGGGGGAAGCCGAGTGTTGGTTTGTCAGTGCCAGGTCCATTTATTTTTAAATGGCCAGTGCATGTCATGGTAGCTCCTGCGTTGAGTGTCTGTGCCCTGGTGGTCATTGCTCATCATAGCTACTGGTTGGAGGGAAGGACAGACACTTAGCCTTTATATATATAGATTATTGTATTTGTTTAATCTTACCCAGCTAGAAAATAATCTCTATGAGGTGAAGAAAGGTATCTTTTTGCCATACAATGTCCTTAGTAAATACTCATAAATGAATTAATCAGTTAATAGAAGGTATCCAGTCAAATATATATTGATTTGAGGTTAAGCTTTGAGAGTGCTCCATTCCCTCGTGTAGTAATGCTTACACAATCTTGAAGGAATAGTACATGTGATGAAAGGGAATGGGATATAGGACCTCATGTGCAAAGACCCGGAGTGTGAGAAAATAAGATTTAGGAGATTGGTTCTTGAACTTTTGGGTTTAGTAACTCTACACTCTTTATTTTTTAAAGCTCACATTTTATATATTTTTATTGATTTCAGGAAGGAAGGGAGAGGAAGAGAGAGAGATAGAAACATCAATGATGAGAAAGGATCATTGATCGGCTGCTTCCTGCACATCCCCCACTGGGGATTGAGCCCACAAACTAGGCATGTGCCCTGACTGGGAATTGAACTGTGACCTCCTGGTTCATAGGTCAACGCTCAGCCACTGAGCCACGCCTGCTGGGCACCCCTTTACACTCTTAAAGTTGAAGTCTCCAAAGAGTTGGTGTTTTTTTTTTTTTTTTAATCCAGGTATGTCTGTCAATGTTTAACATATTAGAAATGAAAAATGAGAAATTTAAAAATTATTTAATTTACCTAAATAATAATGGACCTATACATGTTAACTTAATAACATCTTTTATGAAAAATAACCATATCTCCTCCTCCACCCAAATGGTGACAGGAATGGCATTATTTTACATTTTTCAAATACCCTCAATGTTTGACTTAAAGACAGCAGCTAGGTTCTCATATCTACTACCTCATTCACTCTGTTGCAGTATGTTGTATTAGTCTAAGTCTACTGACTAAGTCTGACCTCACTCCTACAAGGGGTTGGAAAAGAGGAACATTTTAATAGCTTTCAGATAATTGTAGGTATTTTTCTTTGATATGAAACCAAAGCTTAACATGTTGGTTGCATTATCAAATTAGAAAACATATCAATTAACCGTTGTACTTTATTATATTGAAATCCACTGGTTTTTTTTTTGAATGCATTTGTGTCCATGTATAATCCTATATAATAAAGAGGTAATATGCAAATTAAACCTCACACCCTCACAAGATGGCTGCCTATGACCAGGCTGGCAGGGGGGTTAATGAGGGACGACCAAATGACTGAACAGGCAGGCTGTGTGGGGCAACCAGACCGACAGGGGGGTTAGTGAGTGATGACCAAACGACTGAACAGCAGGCTGCATGGGGCGACCAGGCCAGTAGGGGGGTTAGTGCGGGATGACCAAATGACTGAACAAGTAGGCTGGTGGGGCGGCCAGGCTGGCAGGGGGGCTGTGAGGGGCGACCAGGCTGGCGGGGTCAGGCAGTTGGGGGCGACCAAGCCAGCAGGTGGTGAGCAGTTAGGGGCGACCATGCTGGCAGAGGGGGGCAATTGGGGGCAATCAGGCCAGTATGTAGAGGCAGTGAGGGGTGTTCAGGCCAGCAGGGGGGGCCAGTTAGGGGTGACCAGGCAGGCAGACAGGTGAGCGATTAGGAGCCAGTAGTTCAGGATTGTGAGAGGGATATCCAACTGCTGGTTTAGGTCCGATCCCCAGGATCAGGCCTAAACTGGCAGTTGAACCTCCCCCAAGGAGTCCCAGATTAGAGAGGGTGCAGGCTGGGCTGAGGGGACCTCCCTTCCCATGCATGAATTTCGTGCACCGGGCGTCTAGTCTATAATAATAAAATCATAATATGCAAATCGACTGAAATGCCAAACAGTGGAATGACCATCCGGATGCCCTTCTACACGCCCTTCTGGATGACCTTCCGGACGAAGCTGGGGCTATGAGGGCCAAGGCAGCTGCCAGGGCTGTGAGGGCTAAGGCAGCTGGGGCTACTAAGGTCTACTCTTGCATGAATTTCACTCATTGGGCTTCTAGTTCTGTAATATGGGGCATTGGTCATTTGGAAAATATTGGGTTATTGAGTTAAAGGGATTTTCCAAATGGTGACATTTCATTATATAATATTATAAAAACTAGAGGCTTTTTGCATGAAATTCGTGCACCTGGGGGGGGGCGGTGTTCCTCAGCCCAATCTGCACCCTTTCTCAGTCCAGGACTACTTGGTGGACATCCCTCTGTAGTCAAGGACCGCATGCTCCTTACTGCCTCCTGCTTGCTGTTCCTTATCGCTCAGCTCGCTGCTCCTTAGTGCTGCTGCGGAGGTGGGAGAGGCTTGCCAGCCGTGAGCCCAGCTTCTGGCTGAGTGGTGCTCCCCCTGTGGGAGCACACTGACCACCAGGGGGCAGCTCCTCTGTTGAGCATCTGCCCCCTCATGGTCAGTGCGCATCATAGCGACTGGTCATTCTGCCGTAATGGTCGCTTAGGCTTTTATTATATAGATTATCATTATCATCATCATTACAAAGTTATCAGAAAAGTCTTAAGTATTGGGAAGTTTTCAAACTCATGCACACAGATACAAAAACACAAAATTCTAAAATTTTTTATTTTTATTTTTATTTTATTTTTTTTGCGTCTTATTCCCTTTGGTTTTATTTTATTTTATTTTTTTTTTAAATTTTATTTTTTATTACAAAGGGTATTACATATGTGTCCATTTTTTTCCCCGCCCTAGACAGTCCCCTAGCCTCCCCTATTCCCCCTTTGGCGGGCTTGAGAGGTTGGATTTTATCATTGACATCAAATACTTCCAGCTGTCTCCGACACAGTGACAGGTTCATTTTGTTTATTTTTGAGAAAATGTCAGCCAAATACCAAGTCTGAAAATCATAGTTTTCTCAAGGGTAAGGTTATTTAACTCACCCAGGGTCACATAGCTAGTAAGTAACTAGGTATTTCTGATTTTGTTATATTGTGTTGCCCGTGTCTAAATTATTTGGGACTTGCCAAAGCATGTTCTTACAATAGTGTATTGTGGTGTTTTTCCTAGAGAGCATGAATGGTTTAAACAAGATTTGCCCAGTTACTTATTTCCTGAAGACCCCTCCTATGATGCTAACGTCATTGATGATGAGGCTGTGAAAGAAGTGTGTGAAAAATTTGAGTGTACGGAATCAGAAGTAATGAACAGTCTATATAGTGGTGACCCTCAAGACCAGCTTGCAGTGGCCTATCATCTTATTATTGACAATCGGAGAATAATGAACCAAGCCAGTGAGTTCTACCTCGCGTCTAGTCCCCCAACAGGTTCCTTTATGGATGATAGTGCCATGCATATTCCTCCAGGCCTGAAACCTCATCCAGAAAGGATGCCACCTCTTATAGCAGACAGCCCTAAAGCAAGATGTCCATTGGATGCACTGAATACAACTAAGCCCAAATCTTTGGCTGTAAAGAAAGCCAAGTGGCATCTTGGAATCCGAAGTCAAAGCAAACCATATGACATTATGGCTGAAGTTTACCGAGCTATGAAGCAGCTGGATTTTGAATGGAAGGTAGGAAATTGTATATTAAGATAGTTTGTAGAAGCCATTTTTTTTTTTGTATAGTAAACTGCTCTCAACCGCTGAGTTGAGTACTGAGGTCAATTAAAGATTTGTTTCTTATTTAGATAGAAATTTAGTGGTCTTGATACTTCTGGCTATAACTGCCATTCTTTGCAATAATATACCATGTGCATTCAAAACAACACCAATCTCTGTAAGGAAGAAGTATGTTGATGTTGGGGACCTACATATGTTTGAACTACAAAATAGTATTTTTGGCAAAGAACAAAAAGTAATCAACTTGAAATCACCCAAGAAAATAGTCCACATTAGTGAGTGAATGCTGTTTCAGCATTCATTATATGCAGCGGTTCTCAACCTGTGGGTCGCAACCCCTTTGGCGGTCGAAAGACCCTTTCACAAGGGTCGCCTAAGACCATTCTGCATATCAGATATTTACGTTACGATTCATAACAGTAGCAACATTACAGTTATGAAGTAGCAACTAAAATAATTTTACGGTTGGGTCACAACATGAGGAACTGTATTTAAAGGGCCAGAAGGTTGAGAACCATTGCATTATAGCAATTAAAAGTCATATGTCTTCAAAGATACTATGTTTTTACATTTCTCTCTCCCCTTTTAGGCAGGGTTTCTCTTTGTTAGTATCAGTAGCAGCTAGTGGTCAATACATAGTATACATCAGGATATATTTATTCAGTCAACGAATACTTTTCTCTAAGTTGAGAAAACCTCTCTTCCTTGGCTGGTGCTTTCAATCCTTAATTACGAAATATATTTTTACTCTCAGCCCACATTTTACTCTTTAAAAATATAATTGCTCAAATTCATTTCAATCCTATTTATTTGTTGGGAATAAAAGCATTTTTTTTTTATTCCAGGTATTCCTTTAACGCTTGTTCCTTTTTTGAGGACTGTGAATATATTTTTAAAGGTAGAAGAAAAACATTCAAACATACCATGTAAATATTCACTTGACATGTTTGAATATATCAGTCATTTTCATTTCATTCTTTTTTTTAAAATATATTTTATTGATCTTTTACAGAGGAGAAGGGAGAGAGATAGAGAGTCAGAAACATTGATGAGAGAGAAACATCGATCAGCCGCCTCCTGCACATCCCCCACCGGGGATGTGCCCGCAACCCATGTACATGCCCTTGATCGGAATCGAACCTGGAACCCTTCAGTCCGCAGGCCGACGCTCCATCCACTGAGCCAAACCGGTTTCGGCTTCATTTCATTCTTTGTTTGTGAAAGGCATAGATAAAATATTTCCTTAAACCCATTTAAAACGCAGACCTCTCTTTTCTTTTCTTTTTTTTTTTTTAATATATTTTATTGATTTATTTTACAGAGAAGAAGGGAGAGGGATAGAGAGCCAGAAACATCAATGAGAGAGATCGACTCTTTTCTGAAGTAGTTATTAGTCAGTTAAAAAAAAAAAAGAGATGTTAATATCTTTAAAATTCCTTACCAAAAAATTTTTGTAACTAATTTGATAGATGTTTTTGCAAACCCTGAATCTTCTTTATCTGAGCTGCAGATAATATATTTCTTATTTTCAGAGGCAGATAATGTATTTCTTTTTCACAAGATTTTCTGTGATATTTAAATTTTGTGACAATACCTGTTAACAATGCCTGATACAAACCTGCAACACATTAGTTTCCCTTTATTTCTTTTATTCCATATTTATAGGTAAAAGTATTCAAGTTGAGGCTGGGAAGCCAAAATTATCATTTTAAAGTAAGGCATATATAGAATGAAGGCTAGACTCTATAATCTCTGAGTTTCTTTTAATTTTAATTGCTGTAAAGAGTATTGTTAGTGAGGATTAAAAATACTAAATTACCATGTAATATAAAAAGGGATCATCCGGGAATTTCTTCTCTATCCCACTTCTACCAGTGATTCTTTTTTATATTCTTTGCAATAAGAATAGGGAGATATTTTATAGTTTGTTAATTTTAACATTTTTCCTTCACAAAGATTTCTTGTTTTAGGTAGTGAACGCATACCACCTTCGTGTAAGGAGAAAAAACCCAGTGACTGGCAATTATGTGAAAATGAGCTTACAGCTTTACCTGGTTGATAATAGAAGTTATCTTTTGGACTTTAAAAGCATTGATGGTAAGGAAGCTATGCAGGCATGAGTTCTGAGAAGATAAAACTTGGCACTAGTTGACAAGATGTTAAAATCATCTCAAAGGCATGGTGGGTAGGTCCTTTATACTGGTTTTTAAGTAATCTAGATTTAGCTAAAAATGTAAGTGAAATGAGGAAGATCAAAGACACATGGAATATCTCTAACCCAGCACCTCCCCAAAAGAAGTACTTCCTTGCCATAAAAAAAGTCATTTGACGTGTTGGTTGTGGAGCAAAAACCAGGGAAGCAATTTTTAACTAAAATTAGCTGATGTTGTCAGGTTCTTTATCTCATTCCCTCATTCATAATTTGTTACTGTTAGTATTACAATATCTAAACTTGCCCTTCATCAGCTTCTCTCATCCTGATTGGGCAAAATGACCAAATAAGCCTCTCTTGGGATTTAGGTTAGATTTCGGTGCCCATGGCTATCCAGGAGCCAAAGGAGCCAGGGAAGGAGGTCCTGTCCAGATATTCACTGTGTGCCAAGAGTCAACCTGGGTGGACCAAATGTGCTTATTTCATTCATAGGCCAAAGTAGAATAACAACAGAATAAACCAACGGTCAGGAACTGAATGGAACAGGAGAGTTTAGATACAGGAAGTTGATTTAAACAGAGCTTTAAAATTTTGTTTTTGAAATACCATCATCTATAGCAGTGTTTATATGTCCCTAGACCACCTTTATAAAAATTACCCAGAATTCTTATTAACATGCAGATTCTTGGGAACTGCCCCCAGACCTACTAATCCAGAATCTCTGGAGATGGGAAACGGAATCTGTTTTGTTGTTGTTAATCCTTACCCAAGGATATTTTTCCTTATTTTATTTTTTAGAGAGAGTGGAAGGGAGGGGAAAAGACAGAGAGAAACATCCATGTGAGAGAGACACATCAATTGGTTGCTTCCTGCACACACCCTGACTGGGGCTGGGGATTGAGCCTGCAACCCAGGTACACTTGACTGGAATCGAACCCAGGATCCTTCAGTCTGAGGGCCGACGCTCTATCCACTGAGCCAAACTGACTAGGGTGGGAGTCTGCATTTTAAAAAAGATTTTTAAAAATCTTTATTGTTGAAAGTATTACATATGTCTCCTTTTTTATCCCATTGACCCCTTATAGCCCACCCTCACCCTCTATCCCAGGCTTTCACCACCCTATTGTCTGTGTCCATGGGTTATGCATATATGCATTCAAGTTCTTTGGTTGATCACTTCCCAACCCTCCACCCCCCCTACCCTCCCTCTGAGATTTGACAATGTGTTTCATGCTTCTACGTCTCTAGATCTATTTTGTTCAACAGTTTATTTTGTTCATTAGATTCCACATAAGAGTGAGATTATGTGATACTGTCTTTCTGTGACTGGCTTAGTTTGCTTAGCATAATACTCTCAAGGCCCCTCCATGCTGTTTCAATGGGTAAGAGATCCTTCTTTTTTACTGCGGCATAGTATTCCATGGTTTAAATGTACCACAGCTTTTTTATCCACTTATCTACTGATGGGCACTTGGGCTATTTGCCAATCTTAGTTATTGTAAATTTTGCTGCTATGAACATAGGGGTGCATACATTCTTTCTGATTGGTGTTTCAGTTTCTTAGGATATATTCCTAGAAGTGGGATCACTGGGTCAAATGGCAATTCCACATTTAATTTTTTGAGGAAACTCCGTACTCTTTTCCATAACGACTGCACCAGTCTGTATTCATACCAGCAGTGTAGTAGGATTCCCTCTTCTCCACATCTTTGCCAGCACTTGTCATTTGTTAATTTGTTGATGATAGCCATTCTGACAGGTGTGAGGAGATATGTCATTGTCGTTTTAATAGACAATGGGCACATTTGGTCCACCGAGGTTTGTGTTTTTTCATATGTCTCTTGGCCATCCTTATGTTCCTGTTGGAGAAAGGTCTATTTAGGTTCTTTGCCGTGTGTGTGTGTGTGTTAACATCATTGAAACTAATGAAATAATGGGAAATAAAACACTGGATATTTTTGGTCTTTCAAATTAGGAAGCACTGTACTTTAAAATATAATATTGATGACTGCTTTGAGAAAACAATATAGTATTTTTTTAATCTTTATTGTTGAAAGTATTACCTATGTCCTCCTTTTCCCCCATTGACCTCTCCCACTCTGCCCTCACCCCCCATCCCAGGCCTTCACCACCCTATTGTCTGTGTCCATGGATTATGCATATATGGATATGATTCATTGGTTGATGTCTTCCTACCCACCCCCTCCCCTGCCTTCCTTCTGAGGTTTGAGTCTGTTCGATACTTCTGACTTAGGGTCTATTTTTGTAAATTGCAATAGCTATTATAAATTATGCTACTACCTTTTTGCCCATTTTTTAATTGGATTGTTTGTCTTCCTTTTGTTAAGTTGTATGAGTTCCTTCTATATTTTGGATATTAACACTTTATTAAATGTATGTCAAATATGTTCTCCCTTTTCATTTTGTTGATATTTTCTTTTGCTGTGCAGAAGCTGTTTATTTTGATGTAGTCCCATTTGTTTACTTTCTCCTTAGTTTCCTTTGCCCTAGGTTCTAGGAGATGTATCTGCAAACATATTGCTATGAGAGATATCTGAGATTTTGCTGCCTATGGTTTCTTCTAGGATTTTTATGGTTTCACGTCTTATATTTAAGTCTTTTATCCATTTTGAGTTTATTCTTGTGTATGGTGTACGTTGGTGATCTAGTTTCATTTTTTTGCATGTATCTGTCCAATTTTCCCAGCACCATTTATTGAAGAGACTGTCTTGACTCCATTGTATGCTCTTGCCTCCTTTGTCAGAAATTAGTTGAGTGCAATGGCTTGGGTGGATTTTTGGGGTCTCTGTTTTGTTCCATTGATCTATATGTCTGTTCTTGTACAAGTACCAGGATGTTTTGAATACAGTGGCTTTGTAATTTAACTTGATACTGAGTATTGTGATCCCTCCAACATTGTTCTTCTTAAGATTTCTGTGTCTATTCAGGGTCTTTTTTGGTTCCATATAAATTTTTGGAGTATTTGTTTTAGATCTGTGAAATATGCCATTGGTAATTTAATAGGGATTACATTGAATCCGTAGATTGCTTTGGATAGTACAGACATTTTTTTAATGTTGATTCTGCCAATTCATGAACATGGTATGTTCTTCCACTTGTTTGTATCTTCCTCCATCTCTTTTTTTAACGTCCTGTAGTTTTCTGAGTATAAGTTGTTTTTTTTTTTTACCTCCTTGGTTAAGTTTATTCCTAAGCATTTTAATTTTTGTTGCTATGGTAAATGGATTGTTTGTTTTGATTCTCTTTCTGAGAATTAATTATTGGTGTATAAAAATGCCATTGATTTCTGGTGTTAATTTTGTATCCTGCTACATTGTTGAATTCCTTTTTTAAACCTAGTAGTTTTCTGGTGGAGTCTCTAGGGTTTTCTTTGTACAATATCATGTCATCCTTTCCAATTTGGATGCCTTTTATGTTTTCTTCTTGTCTGATCGCTGTGGCTAGCACTTCCAGTACTATGTTGAATAAGAGTGGTGAAAGTGGGCATCCCTATCTTGTTCCTGTTCTTAGGGGAAATGGGTTTAGTTTTTGCCCATAAAGTATGATGTTGTCTGTACGTTTGTCATATATGGCCTTTATTGAGTTATGATCCCTCTATTCCCACTTTGATGAGAGTTTTTTTTTTAAATCAGAAATGGTGTTACATTTTGTCAATGGCTTTTTCTGCATCTGTTGATTATGATCATGTGATTTTTGTCTTCCAGTTTGTTTATGTGATGTATCACATTTATTGATTTGCGAATATTATACCTGCCTTGCATCCCTGGAATAAATACTACTTGGTCATGGTGTATAATCTTCATTTTTAAAAAAGATTTTCCTCACCCCCCACCCCAAGGAGTTTCATTGTGTACCAAAGGTTCACAGAACCACTATGTAATGGTTACTTTTATCTTAGTGATTTTTTGTTGATACACCACAAGAAAATCCTTCAGGATGTGCTTTATTCACATGCAAGTATATAGTTTGATTTCAAGGTTAATGCCGAATCCTTGCTGAGAAGGATGTAGGGGGTCACATTTTGACTGTATGGAAGTGTTGTGATTAATTAGTCATGTCTGTTATGTTTGTTGGGGAGGGAAGAGGTCACCTGCTCCTAAAACACTGAAATATGACATTTATTATTTAGTCGCCTTTGCCCAAATGTGTTTACTTACTTAATTCTCTAATGATAGCATCTTCATAAGAAGGGCTGGGGCAAATATACCTTTCTGATAAATTGCTCTACTTTGGTCCATTTCAGATGAAGTGATGGAGCAGAGGTCTGGTTCTTCGACACCTCAGCGTTCCTCTTCTACTGCTGGCTTACATAGACCCAGATCAAGTTTTGATTCTGTGACTGCTGAGAGCTATTCACTGTCGGGCTCCCTCACTGGCTCCTTGACTGGAAGCACACTGTCCTCAGTTACTCCTCGCCTGGGCAGCCACACCATGGATTTTTTTGAAATGTGTGCCAGTCTGATCACTACTTTAGCTCGTTGATGATTTTCCCCTAGTTTATATCTTTTTGTTGTTGCACTGTGAAATCACATGTATTCTTTAAATTATTATTTTACTTATGTGTACACATACTCTAAAATGCTGATTGACAGACATGAATATTGCCAGGGGACACTCAATGCCATTGAAATTATGAAAACAAAAGTCTGACATTTTATTTATCCGTAGAAATCTGTAATTGTACTATGATAAATTTATATAGGCAGTATCATTAGTAGATGAACACTGATGAAGATCGTTAATTAAAATTGTGAATTCATTACAGATGATTAATACACCTTCCCTGGTGAACAATCTCAGTCAGAGGGTGGTTTGGCAGCACCTCCTTGCTTTACTCTTTATGTAGGTAAATCCAGTTACTACCTAAAAATTTCAGCAAACTTTAAGCTATGTTTATGCTCCCAATTCTTTTCTTTTTTTTTAATCCTCATCCAAGGAGTGAGGACATTTTTTCCATTGATCCCTTAGAGCAGTGATGGCGAAGCTATGACACGCGTGTCAGAGGTGACACGTGAACTCATTTTTTTGGTTGATTTTTCTTTGTTAAATGGCATTTAAATATATAAAATAAATATCAAAAATATAAATCTTTGTTTTACTATGGTTGCAAATATCAAAAGATTTCTATATGTGACACGGTACCAGAGTTAAGTTAGGATTTTTCAAAATGCTGACACATCGAGCTCAAAAGGTTCGCCATCACTGTCTTAGAGAGAGTGGAAGTGAGAAGGGGAAAGAGAGAAACATAGATGTGAGGGAGACACATCGATTGGTTGCCTCCTGCACATGCTCTGACCAGAGGTGGGGAACAATCTGGGAACCCAAGTACCTGCCCTTGATCCGGAATCAAGTTCCCAACTCTCTGTTGCGCAGGTTGACTGACGCTCTGACTACTGAGCACACCAGCCAGGGCTGCACCATTCTTTTTGCACATGATTGAAAAATAAAACCACCATTAGTAAAATAGTATTTAAATGTTGAAATCTTAAAATGTCAGAAGCTTCAGAAGCTAAGTTCTAGGAATTTTTGCCTAGTATTTAACAGAAAGGCTGTGGTCCTGAAACAGTAACCATGATTTCCTGGTTTCTTAACAACAACCTTAACCAACTAGAGGTTTTTTCTTGAGAGTAGAGGCCCAGTGCATGAATTTCGTGCACTGCTAGGGTCCCTAGTGGCTGCTGGCCGGGGCCTCCCTCTCTTCCCTTGGCCGGCCCCGCCCGCTGGTCAAACTCCCACATGACCTCCCGGCCAAGGGGACAATTTGCATACTACGCTTTTATTATATGGGATTTCCATGAATAATATACTTATTTTAAGAACCTTCAAGGTTCTACTCCATATTGGAACATCTGGAATTGCAACAACTTTTGTCATAAACTTATATCATTTAAAACAGTCCTTTAAAACCTACCCTTCTCAAATTATTTTTGGCTTTATTTATTTTTGTACTTTACTAAGCATGATAAAACTGACAGTTACATGAAACAAAGGAAAATCAGTTCCTTAAAAGAGAACTTTTATCTTTGATCTCTTATTATGTGTGGTGGTAGGGTGTGTGTGTGTTACATCCCACATGTTAATTCTTCAGGGGAAGTTTATCATTGCAGCCACCCTCTTCCTCACTTTTCCTGATCACCATTGTCTTTGTTTATTGTATGATCCTTAGTGGCTGATTGGTTTAGCCTTTTACATCCAATTTGAAAACACTGTTCTGGCCTTAAGGGCTTTTATGTAATTCCAGAGCTTGATAGGCTGTGACCCTCACTGTTGAACTTTTTAGGGCAGGGAAGCCTTAAACATTAAAAAAAAAAATCTCTTGTATAAATATATGTGTTGTTTACATATATACATGTATGTATTCACACACCAATGCTTTTTAAAGGAAACCCAAACAGGTTTTTGTTTGTTTGTTTGTTTTGTCCAGGTTGTGTTTTTTTTTTTAATCTTAAAAAAACACACACTTATATACAGCAGGATAGATAATAGCTTATTAATTATATTTTGCTTTAGTAAAAGTATTTAATTTTAAAATTATGTATAATTTACCTAATTTGTATTTATTCGTTTTCTACAGCATATTGTGATTAACAATCTCATTCACCTGATTTATCCTAGACAAGATTAAGCTCTTGAAAACAAAAAGTGACTAAGCCTTGACAGGTTTCTCTTTGCCAAAAATAATGCTTTCTACCAGAAGCAAATGAGAATGTTAGACCAAATTTCTTCCGTGTCAATGGAAGACAAGCATGTCTACCTTTAAACAGTTTTGAGTCAAGAGTGTGCAGTGTTACATCATTTTGTTTTGTAGAACTTTTAAAAAATCTTGTTAAGTAACTTTTTAAGACTGACTTAATATCAAAATAAAAGGAACCCTTGCTGAGAAAGAGGGTGGGGTTGCAGTCAAGAAGTTTTAAGTGTAAGCCCTCGAAAGGTTGCCACCTAGTGGCACAAAAGGGTGCTTTTTTGATTATTTTTATAGGGATAAGCAGTATTCCTATTGTGTTAGTCTGATGTGCTTTGTAGATAGGGCATAATTTTGGCCTCTCCAAGTGTGTAAATACCACTTTTTGGAAAAGCAAGGCCACCTCATAACCTGTGCCTAACTATCAATGGGATGACCTTAGAAATAAGGAACTAATCTGATTCCTTATTCTCCGTGACAAAATCCCTAATAATTTTGAAGGTGGAGAAACAGCAGGAAGGAACTTAGTGGTATTTTAGCTTTGTTAGTCTTAATAAATCATATATGAGAAACTTACTCATATCAAAACTACTTTATATGGATGATTATCATATTTTTTGAGTTAAAAAAATTAATATTTTCTCATTCTTGCCAGTATTCATGAATATCTATAATTTGGTAGTTACCTGTTGAATTTAGGAGAACCAAGGGTCACAGTTTTGGTTTTGTATGTTTAAGTTTTTAAAGCACAGCTATTCTGTGAATCTAGAATTGTTTTGTGGAGAGAAGATTCCATGAGGCTTAGTCCAGGATAACAGGGGCTAGAACAGCAGTTCTCAAGCTGTGGGTCGTGACCCCTTTGGGGGTCGAACGACCCTTTCACAGGGGTCATCTAAGACCATCAGAAAACACATATATAATTACATACTGTTTTTGTGATTAATCACTATGCTTTAATTATGTTCAATTTGTAACAAAATACACCCTGCATTTCAGATATTTACATTACGATTCATAACAGTAGCAAAATTACAGTTATGAAGTAGCGGCGAAAATAATTTTATGGTTGGGGGTCACCACAACATGAGGAACTGTATTAATGGGTCACAACATTAGGAAGGTTGAGAACCACTGGGCTAGAACATTGTCAAAGAAGGCTTTCTGTTGCTAATGAACAGAGAAGGAAACAATCAGTACTAAATCCCCACATTTCAGTCTTATATACTGGTTAATTGTGGATGTGGTTTGTGGTAGGCAGATCTGTGGTAGGAACAATTGTTTCCAGTTAAAATTCTAGCAGAGAGCTTCTATTGTTAGGTTATAGATAAAGGCTTAGCTATGTCATGGAAATGGACTCCATAGGATTCTAGAATAGCATTTCCCAAATTGTATCCTGCAAGATGCTCTGCAGAACGATTCAATTCGAACAAGTTTGGAAAATGTTACCTACTACTCTCCTGCTTGAAGATGACAGTAGATGAGAGTGTTAAAGGCTTTAATGCCCTGTGGAAAAAAGGCAACCCTTTAACTTTGTTTGCCCTCTTTGCCTGAATTAATTTAACCATGATTTTTCAACTTACCAACCCATGGGTAAAAGCAAATTTGGAAAATACTATTTTAGGAAAATTATTGTCCCCTCTTAGTTAAGAATAAAGATCACTGTTTCCTTATTCATTGTTGGAGAGAATCTGGTTCAAAATCAGCATAATTTCATTTTAACCTGTGGACATAGTCACCTTGAACTGCACTAAATAGCACCTTGATTTTTATAGCACCTTAATTTTCTTAATCAGGTCGTGGTATTATTTGGGAGCAACGTATTCTTTTTTTGTGTGTGCTGAATGGGTAACTGAAAAATCTTGAACCAGATTACTTGTAAAAAAGTACTAAGACTAGGGACGAATGCTATGGCTCTATGGATAATGAGCCAGTATCATTGATTCTTACATTCAAAATATGGATGTAGTGAGTGAACATTTTCTAAATATTTAGATGTAATTCCCATTATCCTTTAATGTAGGAATAAAGAACATCTCAAATTGAATTTATAGGGAGGGAGGGAGGCAATCTACAGTATTTTTTTAAAAAATTATTTTTAGAGAGAAATGGAGAGAGAGAAACATTGATTTATTCCACTTATGACTGATTTTTTGTATGTGCCCTCACCTGGGGTCTAACTGACAACTTTGGTGTATCAGGATGACGCCCTAAACAACTGAGTTTCCAGCCAGGGCTCAGTCAACAAATTTTTAAGAGACAGTTTTGTAAACTCTAGCATTTGCATTCCTTGATACTAGCTATTATATAGAGAATCCAGGAGCCTAAATTAAATCAGAAATGATCACATTTCTATGTCAGGGAACTGTCTGTATGTTGCTGCTTTCTCTTGTTCCCTTGCCAGTTGGTACTCAGGGAATAGAAATTGATTTTTAGTATTTGATGAGACATAAGTGAGGAAATAATCATAGACAACTGTTACAGATGTTTTGACTGGAATTATCTGTAACCTCTATTATTGTGCAGCATACTGAGTTAATGTAAGAACCACACCTTCTGTTTGTAAAATATAAAAGCTTGGAATGTGTCTACCACAGACACTGCCTCTTGTCTGTTCACTGGTTAATAATTGAAATCCTATCAATGGTTGTGAAATCTCAATATCTAAATGCTAGACATGTTCACAGTTTTGGCTGTTTTTATTTTTTTCAAAGACCCTACCTTTTCAATCTGGTGTTTCTTTACTTGTGGTTTTACTGTTATCCTATTACTTTGTGGCCTTTTAAATAAGGAATATAATTTATTTTAATGATAGTTCTCAGAGATTCTATTTTGTTAGAAATTCTGGATGAGGGATATGTGCAATCTATCGGTAAGACACATCCTATGTTGTAGTTCATTTTTGTAACCTAAAGATAACAAAAAGTAACCTGCGATATCTTTGAGCTTTAAAGTTCTGTCTTCTCATATGATTTGCGTTAGTGTCCACATTTTATATATTTAGAGTTTTTTATACTAGTGAAAATGTTCTGTATATGTTTGGCAAAGCCTTTTGATGTTATATATTGGAATTTTTTTTCTA